AAAAAAAAAAAACAAAAACTACATTTATGCATAAATCTTCTAAATATTCTAATGAAGTCGCAAAACTCAGCAATATCTCTATTGTGATTTCTACTGCGCCTCAAAGTATGCCGCTACAAAAAAAAAACATTTGAATTTTTGTGCATTTATTTAGCACTTAAAACCTAATTTTTGTGGTATATTTTGAGGCGCAGTACGAATCAAAACAGTGATGTGCTGAGTTTTGTGACTTGGTTCAAATAAGGGAACTAGTTTAGAAATTAAAACTAATTTATTTATTCGCATATTTGCTAATTTTCGGTACAACTTTTGAATGTTTACATTGTGTGGCATTACTGAGAGACCGCAACGATTATAAAAACCACAATGTCCGAGAATTTTGTTTCTAATGTGTAGCTCAATCAATTTGCCCAGGCTCTTTAAAGAAACGAGGTCATTGGTTTGAAATCCCTAGGGGCCCATTCCCATTCTTTGAAATAGTGAGGTTAAAAATTAAAAATTCAAACTTATAAAGAAATGTAGTTTTCCACTGAAAAGTTTTGCAATTTTACGATTAATGTGGCAACACCTGTAGGTAACCAATATACATACATACTTATCTGTGGTCATTTGACAGAAGAACTTAAGTCTATCTTTCACGGACAAACAAAATAGCATATGTCGGCAAAGATGTTTTTGCCGTCAGAGCAATCAAATTTATTCAAATGAAAATCATTCGTACACTGAAACGACATACACTGCCGGCAAAAAGTATTGCAATATATGCAAGAATTTTTTTCTAATATTTTTCCGCATATACACATAAAAATATAATTCCTAAACTTGGTGCAAAATTTCCGAAAATTCAGCAAATTTGCATGCAAATTTTCAACTTTTTAATCAATTTTTTAGAATTTTTTTGAGTATGCAGTTTTGGAGCCCATTAAATTCTAGTAAATAAATGCAAGTTCAGAGTTAGTCAAAAATTTTTGAGTTTTTTTTTATTGAAGCTGTTTTGCATTTTATCCATATAAAGTAGGGCTGTGCGATTAATTGATTACTCAAAATTTTAATTAATCACAAAGTAAATAACTCAATTATTCGATTAATCGGAAATTATGATTACTCAAAAGTTCAGTTACTCGAGTAATCAAGATTTTGATTAACCAAAAACAAAAATATTTGAGTAATTTGCTTTATGATTAATCAACATTATGAATAAAATGAGTAATCAACATTTCAAAGTACTCTTTACATACATACATATAAAGCAGTTGAAGTTCCTTGATACTTTGAAAAATCGTATCTGTTTTCAAAAATTAAAATGAAATACATACATACATACATATTTTTTTCATATACAGAATATAAAAAAGAAAATAAGCATTTTCCAAAGCAACCTCTTTTAACGAGCAAAATTAATTTTTTTTGAGTAATCATATTTCAAGTAACTCGATTAAACATCGTTTTGAGTAATCAAAATCTTGATTACTCGAGTAATCGATTAACCGAATAACTGATTAACCAACTTGCTCGAGTAATCGAATAATCGCACAGCCCTAATATAAAGTATTTTCGAAAAAATTTTTTTGTATGGAAGAAACTGCGTGAAAAAAATTGCCAAAAATCAGCGGCAATTCCTAGCTATTTAAAACTTGTACGTTATTATAATAAAATTTAGTGGGCTACAAATCTGCATTCTCAAAAAAAATTCTAAAAAATCTGACTAAAAAGTTTAAAATTTGCATGAAAATCTGTTGAATTTTCGTGAGCTTTGCACAAAGTTTAGGAATTATATTTTTATGGTTTTTGTTGTAGAATGAACCCTATTTTTTATAAAATTTTGGCGGAAAAATATCAGAAAAAAATGTTACATATGTATATTGTGAAAAATTTTGCTGTGTCAATACTTTTTGCCGGCAGTGTATGTATTTTACAATTTCTATTGTATAAATGTGAAGTTAAGTCTTGTAAAAAAAAACTTTCAAACTTGATTTCCCAAAATTTAAATTTTTACACATTTATGTTTCCGGCATTAGGGCGACGATATTTAAAATATGTTTTACAATTATTATTTTACAAGTATTTAGTTCTGTTTTATTAATTTACTTAGTATATGTATGTACATATATATGCATTAGCGTGTCCCAGAACAAAAAAGGATACAATTGCTTTTCCCGAAATTTGATTTGCATAACTCCTTTCTTTATTCCTTTTTGCCCTAAGGAACATGAAGCTTCAATAGTCCTTGCCCCTGTATCTATTCACAGCAGTCTGAACCGGCGCTGTTAACTGGTTAGTAAGTGGATTATTCGAGGGCACAGGACACTCCGTGATTGCGCTGCAGGCTTCCCGTTGCGTTCAAGTTTTTTGAAAATGACTGGTCCTTGGACTTCCCGTACCAGTCTGTAACATTTGCTGTTAGCTACGGTTGCATCTGCTGTGCGCTTTTATGCCGTAAATTTGCGTTGAGATAGATACATATGGTAAGCTTTATATATATATATATGATATTTAAGCCGAAAGGAAAACAAATTAAGCGTTACATATATCGAATATCGGCAAAAAATTTGGAACACCCTAATATGCATAGTTATTTTTATACATACATACTTACATACTTATGTGTTTATATTGTAGAATTGAAATTATATGAATGCATATAAATTAGCGTGGTCCAAAATAACTAACCTAACGAATTTATGGCCTTAAAAGGACCTTTTTTGCTGAGCAGAAAATTCTCCTATTTGGAAAAATTTTTATTTAAATTTTATTACATGTTATTTACATGGAAAATCAAGTCAAATGCCCACCGCCGACACCTTCTAAAAATTGGAATACAAATTTTTCCTAATAGCAGAACTTTCTGCTCAGTAAATATGCCCTTCTAGGGCCATAAATTCGTTAGTTTAGTTATTTTGTATCACCCTAATGTACATACTTAACACTGTAACAGTTTCATAGACTTTGAATAAGTGCAACAAATGACAGGCACATTTTTAGAGTATATATATATATATATATTGTAATTGTTTTTGTTGCTTTGGACTGTATGTACATATACATATTGTTGCAGTTTTACATGTACCATCTTTTATAAATACATATATGCAGTTACATATGTTTATTATAAAGGTTTTTTTAAGATTTTCAAAAATTACACCTTGCACGGGCATACATTCTATACAAACAAAGATCAGACATTTTTCCGCGCTCTTGCGACCCCAGGCGACAGGCTAGTGTGACGCCCCATGTCGTCCATACATCCATTAATATTTGCTAGCTACTTAAGTCAAATTTTAGCCTTTGGCACATCATTGCACACCCATATATCGCAAAACATTTCAAAAAGCATATTTAAGCTCACTAAATAATCCTTTGATTCAAAGAAGAAAATCTAAGCTCACTCTCAAGCCAACCAACGCATTTCTAAAAGAATAAAGAATAGTCGCATGCCGTCGCATTTCGGAAAGTAGTGCATTTCCCCTTCAAAGCGCAAGTACACAGCAGTTACACTTGATGGCCGCTGACAGATCACAGTATTGTGGTTACCGTAAAAGATGCCCCATCGGCCGTGACACCCTTCTCGGTTTGCACCTTGGTCGCAAAACTTTCAACGCTCGGCGCCTTACTCAAATCAATTGGCGGTATGTCCTCATCGTAGTCCTCTTCGTGTTCCTGCTCCACTTGATCCTCGCCATCGTACTCGCCAACTGGCCGTTGTTGCTGTGGCTGTGGCTGATTCTCCGCCGCCGCATTCACCATGGGCGAGTGAAAGTAGTGTGGCTGCTTCTGTGACGACGACGACGACGACGGGCCCGGCATATAGATAATGCCGTCGTCGGTATCATCGTCATCATCGGTGGTGTTATGGGCAGCGATATTGGCCTGTCGTTGATGTTGATGTTGATGACTTGGGTTGCCGTTAATGTTGCAGCCGGTGTATCCTCCATAGCCGGACTCGCTTTGATACGGGTTGGACTTTATGTGCGCGGTCCGGCAGGTTCCGCCGCAATTATGATGGCTCTCGGCATCGCCGCCATTTGCGCCGTAGCACTGGCCTCGATGTACTGAGCCCCCGTCCGTACCGTGCCGCTGCAGGGAGTGACCCACTGCGCCGTGTTGCCCACTGCCAGAGTGGGCGACTGATTGCTATATGTGCGAGTGTGAGCGCGCAATGGACAGCGAGTAGGGGCTGATGTCTTTCTGGATGCACATCGTGTCGTAGATGGGAAACTCGCAGCAGAGTATGAATTTCAGGGCGCTCGGCACTTCAACATACACGGATGGAGGTATGGGTATCAGCGGCGATGTTGACGCCTTATACTTGCGGTACTCCAGTTGGCTAAAAATTAATAAAGGAGAGACTGCAGTGCATCAAGTGGAAGGATCAAATTTGCTTTGGACTTACTCTTTGTACTTCTCATCAGCTGAACGTTCACGCAGTGGTATTCCAGATAGGAAGAGTATTATGAAGGTGGTAAAAATGGGCGAAGCGATAGCTACCCACTCGTGGCCAGATATAACATTCAACGAAATGGCGAAGATACCCCACCAGATGACGACCTCGCCGAAGTAATTCGGATGACGTGAAAGACTCCATAGGCCTGGAAATATGTATGCACATAAGCTTGTATGTATGTATGTACGTATAATACATACTCTAAATCAAATCAAATTACGAGAAACAAAAAGGAAGTGGGTGCGTGTGTGTGCCCTTAACATACATTATTAAATGATCATATCCCAGCCAACAAAGTATCCGTAAACGCATCCGAAAATGAAAAAAAAAAAATTCTTAAAAAAAAATCGGATATTTCATAAGCTTTCGGATTCCAGTGGGCACCCGAAACGTGTGTCGGAAAAAGTATCGGACATGGAGCGAAATGGATGCGCTTTTTTTCCTGAATTCCACTATGCCTTTTATCTTTAATATAAAAATTGTAATTCATTTTATTATTTTGCATCTCATGGCAATCGAGCCTTGGACGTTCTGAAAACTACAAAATGGCGCACGCGTCTTTGTTCCAGCCAAAATACGTACATCTCTGAGCCTTTCAATTAAAGTAGCTTAAGTGACCTTAGAAGGTTTGACTTTGAATTAAAAAATAATCTGTAATAATCCTTAAAATAAACCACAGACATTTGGTCAGTAATACTTGACGCCTGCAATACGTCAGGCAACATTAATGAAACTAATGGCGTTGTCTTTTCTCGAAAAAAAACTTTAAAATTTCTTATAGAGCAACATTATCAGAGTGCAACATGCACGTAAATATGCTGAGAAAAGAACACGAAAACTTGACAGCCCCGACGCAGGTCAGAATAAATGCCACAATATTTCGAGAAAGGAAACCCGCAATTTCTACAACACTACTACATACCCCTTGTAATGAATTAATACGAAAAAATTAAAGATACTCACCATCGTTGCAGAATTTCCCTTGATTCGCTGGATCCTGTCGGAAAGAGAACTTCTGCAGATCAGCATATGTCTCGGCCAGCAATCCAACTATAAACATTCCCGTACCAGTGGAATCCAATGTGGTCATGGTTTTGGGAGCATTTGGCTGGGAATGGCGGGGAGAGTTTATTATAATTACTGGCAAAGAGACCACATAAACCCAAACGGCCTAAAAAGAAAGAAAGGCAAGAAATATTAGTTTAGTTTCGTAAAAATTATATCGAGTGCTCATATTCAATAACCTATCTGCACCCCTCGGTGACTTATGTACCTGTCAACTCTGATATTATTTCTTACTTTCAAAGCCAATAGTACATTTCTGGGGATGTAGCCCGATGGCTTGCAAGATTATGGGGGTAACTGTTATTCCCAATAGGAGAAGTATATCTGTATATAAGAAACACAAGCGACTGAGGCTGTCGCTAAATGTCAACCTGACTTCGGGGTTTCCTTGCTTGACATCTAGGAGGCATTTGATAACGTGAATCAATGGTAAAAGTCCTGAGTAAGCTTGAGCACGAAAGCAAGTTAGTGAGGCTTATCTCAAAACAAAAAAAAGCTCTGTGGCAGAATTGTCATGGGCAGTGTATTTTTTCAGCATACGGCGATAAAGGAGACCAAATCTGCTACGTTTACGATTAGTTTATGGTGCGATCGTAAATGGTCATAGAATTCCTGCCCTCTCTCTCTCAATCGTCTCTGAATACTTTCAAATTAGGCTGGTTTGGGCCTCAGGGCACCGCGACATTGCAAGTAACTGCAAGCCTGATGAATTTCCTAATTGAGCACTTGGCGAAACCCCTGGCCGGGCATTCAAAGGGCGAGTACTCTCTAAAATTCTCCCTGGGGTGGATTGCAGCAGAATTTACATGAGGCGATTTTCTAACCGATTCACCTCATGTAAATAATGCTTTATTATTCGAATTCCGTGGACGGTGAATTATACGTGTTACCATTCCAAGAAAATGTTGTTCTTTTATAATAAAAACAATGCTCAAGTGGGCATCTCGCACTACCATCTAAACTGATCTTAAATAAACAGAAAGTTCAGATAACGCATTGCAGTATTTTATCCTTTATATCGTTTTTTTTTCTTCACATCAAAACTAACCACTAATGAATCTAACAGTACATTGTTCAAATTATTGAAGGCCTGCGAATCAAAATTTCTGAAAATTGAATAGTTAATGCATTTTGAATATTTATAGACTCATTTATTATTTGTAGTGGATAGGTTTGCGTGGCCAGCTATTCGATTGGTCCTTGACAGAAACGAGTGACCATGCTCCCACGTCGAGAAGGAAATGGGGCGTTTGCATATTGCGCGTATACATGGAAATTGTGAGCCGAACAACTCACGTCACAGCCATAAAATCAATATGGAACTATGTACATTAAAATAGCAAATAAGAGTCATTGAACAATGAGTTTGCTAAATGACATTGATTTAATTGTTTTAATAAAAATCAGATCAATAAAACTTCCTGCAACTCAACACTGAGTGAGGCACATAGGAAGCGTTGTCATCAAAAGTTGACATGTCAAAACACATAGAACGTATGTATGTATGTATGTATGTACGAGTATAATATACATACATAAGTGTATGAAAGTTTCAAGTTCCTGACATAAGTTTACTTAATAGCCATTGATTTTGAATTTACAAATGTATGTACATTAGGGTGGTCCAAAAAAAGTAAAGTCGGAAATTTAATGATCTCACCCCCTAGGATTGTTCTATACCGAAAAAAAGTATACCCCTGTTTTTTTATTTAAAAATTAAAATATATTTAGAGGTCGCTCAAAGCGCTCAAAGTTTCCCATGTATGGGGAAAAAAAGACTTTTCGTAGAAATGGCATAGAATCCATGGAAATCAAAATTTTTCAATCTGAAAGCTCTGCTTCTCTTCAGAAGACTTCAGAGAATAATGCCCAATGGTTTATTTAAACATTTTTTAATTTTAACTATTTTTTCTTTAAGTTTAAAAAAAAAAAGTTTAATCAAGGTTGCATAACTTTTGAGTTATAGATGTTTTAATTCAAAAAAATGTATTTATATTTATCGATTTATTAAGAGATTATGAATATTTAGAATCACATATGAAACATAGGGGTGCCCACAACTTAAAAAATTACACTTTTTGTTTTGGAAGTGTCATGTTTTTTTAAGATTTGCCCCCATCTACGTTCCCTGCAGTGAAAAGCTGAACCAGTATGCACAAATTCCAGTTTATGAACTATTATTTAAGGATAAAAGTCATACCAGTTCGTTATGAACTACGTATAATTATACCAGTTCCTCGTAGAAAAAAAGTAAACTTGTTGGTAGAAATTCTAGTTCGAAAACTGTTATTAAATGAAGAAGTAATGTCATGTACTATAATTATACCAGTTCTCCGCAGTGAAATGCCAAACCAGCCAGTAAAAATATACTAGTTCGTTAACTAGTATATGCTAAAGCGACGGCCTACCATTTCGTCGATTTCGAACAACTTATGCGATCAGCGACATCTGTATTTGAATTGCCAAAACCAAAACTTAAATGCGGCTCATAATTATTTGGGCCAAATTCTTATTTATTATGTTTGCTGAGTTGGAGCTACTTCGGCCGATAGAGTTAAAAGCAAAAAAAAAAATAAAATTTTCCTTTTTCCCTCCTGCGGCTAATTGCTTTCCTCACCAATACCGGCTGATTCATACTTTTATGCTCACCTGAAAGGTCCAAAAAACAGCGTATCTGATTATGTTGCGTCTTGTGTCGTCAAACTGTTTATCACGGCCCAACTTTATTATGCGGTAGAGCAGATATCCAGAAAGCCGTGCCCCCCAGAGGCAGACGAATAGAGTGACCATCAGCTGCCGACTGTCGTAGGCCTGTAAATATATATAAACAATTAGGTATCTAATTATAAACGAAGTTAAATAAATTAATGAAATATTTCTATAGTTGGGCGTGATCAGAGAACTTTGGTTATACATAGTATTTTAAAAGAATAATCGCACGCGAGCAGCGATTTTCCATCAAGAAAAAAAACTTATGAAAATCAGCTGCCTATTTAAAAAAAAAAAAAACTATGTAATTAACTTCTTCTTATTTGGCGCTGTAATCGCCTAAGCGATTTCGGCCGAGTTAAATAAATGACGACTCTTTCTGCCGTTACCCAAGGCTCCACTCGAATTGGTTACCGCATCTCGCAAATGGATTGCTCACGTTGCCCAGGGTGTGCGAACGAGGGCGCAAGAGTCGAGATTGAGTAAAGCCGAGCAACTGTAACTGCATACCAAGCACAACGACTATATCCCTTTGTACTCCAATGTAATTAACTAATTGTGATTTCGTTTCTGTCAAAAAATGTTTCCCTTTCACTATGTAAAATGTGTTTGATGTTACACACAACCCTCCAAAAGGGCATTGTTTTTGCCATTTTGTCCTTGTCTAGTTCACGCCTTATATAATACTGTCGTTTCAAGCAACCATCTGATTTTCAGAGCAACCATCTGATTTTCAGAGCAACCATCTCCCCTGGCAAAGCTTCGAAGAATGTGCCTTTTTTGCCTTAGAAGAGTGTGACATTTTAAGAAACGAACACAATTTTTTTTTTTACCAAATTAGGAATGAAAACCGGGGCAATGAAAAGGCGACATTTTTCGGTAGAAACGAAAACACCATAAAAAATAGGAATATATCGCTACGTAAAGGTGATTCAGAATGAGAGATCATGCAAAAATAAATCGATTTCTCGTCTCTCCTGAACAATTCAAAAAAGGAACAGTCCAGCGCCTTCGTCTTGGTCTGCAGGCTGTATCGGAGATACAGCCGCTATATTTAAACGTAGAATACGTGGTATGGTTAAGAGCATATCCAAGTCAAAAACGAAATCACACACTAAGAAAAAAAGGGTTTTTCCAAAATTTTACAAATTTACATACTTCTAAGTGAAAAGAACTCAATGAGAATATAAGCGAAAGCCCTATTTTTATTTTTATTTTATACCATTGTTTTTTTCTACAGCTTACTGAGATTTAAAGATTTGAAATTTTGAACAGAAAAGATATTTATTGAAAAAA